TTTTTTTTTTTTTTTTTTGGTGGTGCTAGGGATTGAATCCAGGCTTTGTACATGTGAGGCGAGCACTCTACCAACTGAGCTACATCCCTAGCACAAAAGGAATGATTTTTATAAGACAACATTGGTCATCAAAACATTCCTTTACCAACTTTATCACTTCTAAATTAATGGTTAGAGTATTTGTCCTCCATTCAACTTTCTACTCCCCATATGTTCCTGTTTACTTGAAATTCTCATATTAGGCTATCCAAGGCCAACATGATGAGATCCTGTGAAATATAACAAGCACAGTGAAAGGAGAACCAGGGGTAGGGTTGTGGCTCAGAGGTAGAGCGCTCGCCTACCATGTGTGAGGCACTGGGTTTGATCCTCAACACCACATAAAAATATGTGTCCACCTATATTTAAAAAAAAAAAGGAGAACCAGTGTTAGGAACTGCTCAGGTACAAAAATGAATAATATTTGGTCCCAGCTCCTAGGCAACCTACAGTCATAAAAGGGAACTTAACAGTTATATAACCAACCACCAACTCCATACTTCCACATGTAATGTAGTATGTATCTTAAAAGAAATACAATGAAAATCAAATAGGTGTTCCTTAGATGTGTAAGCTAATTTTTTAAGCAAATTTGGCCAAAATAAAATGCTAACTGCTAATTTATTGAGACTTACTACCCACCAGCTACTGTAATTGACATGCATCATCTTATTTAAATATTTAATCCTTAAAATAACCCTGAGCTTTATATCACATTTTTTTTCTTTCACAAATCATTTTATTATTATAATTGCTATTTTACTTAAAATTTTTGGCAACATTAATAAAATAATAAATTCCATCTGCAAGAACAAGTAAGCAAAATACACAAGGAAATTCATACAATAATAATAATAAACTAGTAATCTGGACAGATATTAAATATATTTGTAAACAAAACAAAGTGACATTGCCTTAAAAAATATAAAGCTATCAATAGAACAACAGAGAAAGCTCCCTTTGACTCAATTCACTATATTAATTTTCTTTTGGTTGCAGGCACAGAAATTGACTCAAGCTAGTTCAATTCTAAAAGAGAAGCAAAGCCCTTAATGATTCCTTCCCAGCTTTTTTGTGAAAATCTAGGAAATTTAACTAGATTAGAGAGAGAAGAAAATAGTGGGGGAGGGAGGTAAAGTGTATATCACATTATTTTAAAGAGGAAACGGAGGAAAGCAGGTAGAGACTTTTGAATTAGGTACCCTGCCCAAAAGATGTTCCTTTCCCAATGAAGAACAGAATTTGGAGGGTAGAGAAGAGACAGAGAGAATAAGCTCCCACACAGTATCCGTCTGTGTTGTCCAGTATGACAGCCTGAGCCACAGTGGGGCTACTGAGTACATGGAATGTTGCTGGTCCTAACGGAGATGTGTTGTAAGTATAAAACATTCACGGGGTTTCAAAGATTTAGTACCAAAAAAAGAGCATTTTTCAATAAGTTTATATTGGTTAGATGTTGAATTGATAATTTTTGGATATAACAGATTAAAAAGTGTAGGTTATAAAATTAATGTCACTTTTTTTGTTTTTATACTTTTTAATGTGGCTACTAGAAATTTTTAAATTACATATGTGGTTTGCATTATACTTTACTGAATAGTGGTTGTCTAGAGTACTAGCAAAGGAAGGAATTACCAATCAAAAAATAAATAATATTAACATAACAATCTTCTATGGTAATATGAAATCAGGAAGTAAATGCCAGATTTTAAGGAAGAAAAAGATGTCATCTTATACTTTTTAAAAACTCCTCTTGGGGGCTGGGGTTGTGGCTTGCTTGCCTAGCATGCATGAGGCACTGGGTTTGATACTCAGCACCACATAAAAATAAAATAATGGTATTGTGTCCACTTATAACTAAAATAAATAAACATTAAAAAATTAAAACTCCTCTTGGGATAATCATTTTTTTTTAAATGCAATAACAAAAGTATCTTCTCTGGGCCTAAAATCATGACACCTCAGTATAAAGAAGAAAACCCTAGATCTTGATTTCTAATATCATTCTCCTTGGAGAAATGGCAAGAGCAAAGAACATACAAGTGAACCTTGAACATTTCATTGTACCAGAAAGTGAGATATTGCTCAGAAAACATTACAAGGGGAGCATTTAAAAGAAACACTAAAAGAGAGGGGCCAATAGAAAGAGCTCCCAGTTGCCAAAACTGAAACAAGTTTATTGACAAAATAAAAGAACATAGTGGCAAATTACAATCCAAGTATAAAATAATAAGAACTCTGTTAGTATAAATGACTGAATAAGTAAATAAATAGGGGAGAATAGCCAAATCTCACATACAAAATAATTTTGCCCCTGAAAGTGGTAGAGCATAACTGCCCCCCCACACACTTCAAGTGTAGGCCGTACATACTGACTTCCCTCCAAAGAGAAAGGTTATGCAAAGGGGTGGGGGGTTAAAACAGTAATTTTGTGGTGGAAAAACCTGACTAACACTAAATCAAGCATGTAATGAAGCTTAACATCGTCAGCGATAATTATCAGTGATAAATTGTGCTGCCAGCACATTCCCTTGAAATTATATGATGAGAATGGCACTTTGCCTCTCTGGTCTTTCTCTAAACAATCCCATATACACAGTTTAATTATAAGAAACTAAAATTGAGAGACTTTGTATAAAGCTTACCAGTACTCTACACAACTGTCGAGGTCAGCAAAAACAAGGAAAATCTGAGAAACTGTCACAGCTAAAAGGAGCCTAAGGAGACACAATGACTATATGTAACAGCAGGCTACTTGGAATCCTGGAGGGGGGGACGTAAAATCTAAAGAAATCTAAAAAAAAGTATGAACTTCAGTTAATTACATATATCAATATTGGTTCATTAGTTGTTATAAATATATCATACTAACATACTTACATAAGATCTTGACAACAGGTCAAATTAGGTAAAAGATGGAGAACTCACTGCTATCTTCACAACTTTTCAGTAAGCTTAGGTAGTAACTTATTTTTTTAAATAAAAGGTATATTAAAAAGAAGGAGGAGGAGGGCGAGGAGGAGGAGGAAAGAAAGAAAAAAAGCAAGGCCCTCCTCTAGTTTAAAACCTTTCAAGACTATTAGAATCTATTCCCTGGCCCAAAATCTTTACAACCTTGCTATTGACCTAGAAGCTTGTTAACAATATGAAATCTCAGGCCCATCCCAGATACACTGGGGTTCTCAGAGAAACAGAACCAATAAGAGAGAGAAAAAGAGAAGATATATATATACAAAGTAGAGGCTCACGCAGTATAGGCCTGGAGGATCTATATCCGGAGAGAAATTGTACAGAAGCCTGGAGGTTCAAGGAGACTGATGGTGCAGATGAAATCTGAAGAGAGGGCCAAACCTTGTAGAGCAGGCCTGTAGCCCCAGCTAGTCCAGAACTTGAGGCAGGAAGATCACATCTTGAAGGCCAGCCTCAGCAACTTAATGAGACCCTAACTCAAAATTTAAAAAAATAAGAACTGAGGATGTAGCTAGAGACCCCCTGGGTTCAATCCCCAATACCATAAAAAAAGAAAGAAAGAAATATGAAATAGTCTTCTGGAGGATTCCCTTTGCTTGGGGTAGGGAGAGGGAGAGGGACACTGTTCTAGTTAGCCTTCAACTGATTGAATGAGGCCCACCCACATTATGGAGGACAACCAGTTTCACCAATTTAAATGTTAACTTCATCCAAAAACACCCCCCAATTTGACACATAAAATAAACACCACACCAGACCTGCTGAATCTGAAGCTATATTACAAGGATCCACCAAGTGATTACATGCATACTCAAATAAGAGTGTCATCTCAACAACCTAGTTTGAAATCTACATGGTTATTTCTGTCACTCAGAAATAAGGTCTAATTTGTTATCCTAACTTGAAAACTGGTCTAGAATTTACTAATCTGGAAATTAGGGATGCCTTCAAAAATCCGCACCTCCTTCTCTGATAAAGGAGCGTCGTCTTTGTTCCCATGTAGACCTCACCAATCCTTTTACCTGGTTTACTGAATTATTGGTTTGTGAGTCTTCCGGATTTGCCCTGAACACTTCGAGGGCATTGACACATCTTATTTTCCCGTCTATCTCCACAAAGATAGCCTCTATTACCCAGGAAAATTGTTGAACTCAAGCCTATGGCTAGAACAGCGGCTCCAGGTCTGTCCAGCCTAGGCAAGCGTTTTCCTAGTTTCCTCTTTCCTAGTTTCCTCTTACTGTAGAGTCAGTAACTACAACAATCTCTCTGAATTAGAAGTGCGAAGAAAAAACACACGCAGAGAGATGCATCAGAAGAGTTGATACCTTGAACCATATGAAATTGTTTATATTGGGTTATTTTTTCTATAAAATCGGCAGTCTCTGGGCACACGCAGGTAATCCCTGGCGGCCCTGTCCTGGGAGGGTGAAGCAGAAGGCTCAAAAAAAAGTTCAAAGCCAGCCTCAGCGATTTAACGAGACTCTCAAAACAAAACATTAAAAAGGGGCTGGGGATGTGGGGATGTGCCTCATTGGTTAAAAGCCCCTGGGTTCAACCCTTGGTACTCCACCCGACGCCCCACCCCCCCCCAAAAAAAAAACCTGGCAACCCTATTGAACGTTAATATATTTCCATTTGCTGTTTCGTCACCTCAAAAGCAATTTAGGGACCGTATGCTGTCACGCGGTAGACAGTAAAGGTTGCCAACAGTCATGACAACCGTACACACCACCTCGACTTAAGTCCTCCCCTTAATTAGACACGCTTAAAGTCCCCGCAGGCGACTCCAGACTTCCACTTATCCTGCTCTGGAAGGGCCGCACGGGAGCTTTACGGAAGGTCTCCTGGAAGGACACGTTCTCAACAGCTCTGGCCACCTGGCACGCGCAAAGCCATCGGAGCTGGGCAGCTCCACACCGACCTCCCTCCGCCGGGCGGAAGTCCCGGAACTCAGCCTTCCCCGCCCAACCTACGCCAGGGTTGCCCAAACCTAAGATGGCGACAGGGAGGAACCGGCGCGGCTGCCTCTGGGCGGGGCATCGGTGACACTACGTGGCCAGGAGGTGGTGCCAGGATGGGGGAGGTACCAGAGTCCACGCCACCGCCCCGGCCCGCCCAGCCACAGCAGCCGGGGGCTTCGGCTGTCGGGCTGGAGAGCTCCTCTCCTCAGAGCAGCCAGCTCCCTGTAGGCATCATGAGGTCCTCGGTTCGAGGTCCGGTGGTGAACGATGGCGAGGACAGCACCGACAGCACCCCGCTCCTTCAGGGCGCCCGGCAGGCCGAAGCCGGTGAGCAGCCGGGTCGTCTAGGGGCTCTAGGCCGGCAACATTCCCGGGGCGGGCGGTGGTACTGGTCAGAAGTGCCAAGGGTACTGGCACCCCCGCCGTCTAGTCCAGAGTTGACAGGCGCCGAGGGGACACGAAGAGAGAAAGCTCATTCAGGCCCCTCTTAGCCCCGCCTGTCCCGGTGCCCGGAAGCCCCTCCGACGCCCTAGGGTCTGACGGGCAGGCTATGCGGAGCTCCAGCTTGGCCTCCGCTAGTGCCTCTAGGCGGGGCGGGAGCAGGGAGCGGCTCTGCGCGGCAGGTGCTTGAGCTGCTCACTGTTTTCAGTAGTGCAGAGCCGGGAACCCGGTGAAAAACCCAACTTGGGGAGCGCCTTCAAATCAATGGGCAAGGGCCAGGCGGAGGGTGAACTGAGGGCCCTGGGGTTTCATCCCCGGCACAAAAAGAAGAAAGGGCGAACTCGGGGAGAAACTTGCAAATCGGTGAGCAAATGGCCAGGCTGATTCGTCTCCTGCCTTGTGACCTCCTGGTTTCCACAGCTGCGTATCAGCCTGCAAGTGAGCCTATAGCTCCTCGGGCAGGGAGAGGAGACAAAAGGCTAGGAGATATAATATTTCTGAGTATGCAGAGAGCAAGTGTTGCATAATCCAGCAAACATCTTGATATTGTGCTGTAAGAGACTAAAAATATTGCACACATTTCATTTTTTTTCCCGTCTAGCAGTCTACAATTTAAGTTAGGAAACAGTTTGGTTGTCCTCAAGATAAGCTATCTACAGAGCTGTAAGATAATTTGCCAGAGACCTTGCAACAAATCGAAAAGGAGGTATTTCAAAAAGCATGGTCTCTGAATTTAGGAAAATAGCAATACTTTGCTGTTTTCCACTTTTATAATGCAGCTTCTTAAGAAGTAATGAAAACTAAAAAACAAATAAGTTTGCATGCGTTCTGTAGTTTCAAAGATTCAAAGTATTAGAGTAGAATTGGAAATCTGACTTTTGTTGACCAAGCATAGTATGTTCTTTTTGGTTTTTTTTTTTTTTTATTTGTTTTTAACATTACCAGATGGTGGCAGTAGAGATGGCAACATTGTAGCTCCGTCCTGCATCTTGGAGCTTATTTTAGTCAATGCTAAGTGTAAATAACTGTACCAAAGTAGTATTTTACCTGAAAGTTATATTTAATTCCATAAGCTGATCTTTTCCCTTGGCTTATATCATTATAATCATATAATCTTCCTCTGTAAAATAATCTCATAGAAATGCAGAAACAAATGGCTATATAATGCACTACTGTATTCTGCTGTAATTGGAATATATGTGTGTATGTACATAAACATATACATATATGAAAATTTAGCTCAAATGTCAGCCATCTTTAATATTCAGGAAAATGAAGATTCAAACCTCAATGCTTACTAAAATAGATAAAATTCAAAGGCTGAGAGCCTGGCACAGTGTTGCAAGCCTGTAGTCCCAGCAGTCAGGAGGCTGAGACAGGATGATTGCAGGTATGAGGCCAGCCTGGGTTATTTAGTGAGAACCTGTTTCAAAAAATAAGCAGTACTAGCTAGGTGCAGTGGCACAGGCGTGTAATCCTAGCAGCTTGGGAGGCTGAGACAGGAGGATGGATAGACAGGAGGACTGAGAGTTCAAAGCCAGCCTCAGCAAAAGCAAGGCACTAAACAACTCAGTGAAACACTGTCTCTAAATAAAATACAAAATAGGGTTGGGGATGTGGCTCAGTGGTTGAGTGCCCCTGATTTCAATCTCTAGTACCCCTC